GACTTAAAAATTTTTTATCTAAATTGCAGATACAAATGATAGGAGAATGATGTCGAGATATTTGTAAAACTAAATTTATGTGCATTCTAAATTTAAGCAGAAAGTAAGAACAAAGTTTAAAAGAGTTCGAGTATTAAGAAAGGATGTTTCCCTTGCAAAGAGATCTTAATCAGTATAGGAATTGAATGATTAAAAACATAAAATGTTGTATTGTGATAAATATGAGTATAAATATTCTTTACCCTCTCTTGGTGCTAGCAATGAACATTGGCCAACCTTAAAATTGTTCCAGCTTATGTAGTAGTGTCAAGTAGATTCTAGCCTCTTATTTTTAGATTACCCACTGTGCCTTCTCTATAAGACCTATTAGAGACCCTTAGATCCAAACCCAAGATCGAAGTGATAAAAGAATTCAACTGTTACCTTAGAAACATCAATTCTACGACAATAAAAAATTATCTCCCTATCTATTTGCACTTCTCCTCGGACAATTGTGATGGCTCTATCCAAAGTTAAGTGTGGTGCTCACTAGTTGAGTGAAATCATAGTCCTCCCAGACCATTATGTTTTACAACGGATTTTAATATCACAAACGATCATTTTGTAAAGTAAATTAAGAATATGTGAAAATATCATCATAAATTTTAAAATAAAAAGAAATATTTAAATCATTCTCATCCCACATGATTAATTCCCATATGTAAGGAGAAAGAAAGAAAAACTACTTAGAATTCATGAAGATAAAACAAAAACACATGATTTGTATTGAAAGTCAACTCTTAATAATAAAAACTCAAACACAAATACAAAGTACTTATTTTATGTCTTATCCCTAAGCAATTCCTGAAGTTTCCTTCAAGCAATCTTCAAACTCTTCTTACACGATCAAAGACTCACAAACTCTTACACACACTCTCACCACTAAGAGCTCACACACCCTCTAAAGCCTCCAAAAGTCCTCTTCAAAAGCCTTATTTCAAACAACCAATTGTCCCATTTAATAGAACTCTGAAAATAACCAAGGGTCACTTCAAACACACTTTCAAAATTCGTTCAAATTCATTATATCTTCTAGAGAAACTGTTTCTGGCTCTATGACGCCACTCTGGGGTGCTATGGCGCCCATAATGTCCGCGAACTGGAGCTATGACGCTCTATGATATTGTGTCATTTTGCTCCATTTTGCCTTATTTTTTTTTAAAGATCCATTCCTTGTACCTGCAAAGGCTGGCGCTATGACGCTCTATGATATTGTGTCATTTTGCCCTTATTTTTTTTTAAAGATCCATTCCTTGTACCTGAAACAAAAAACATTCAAAATATCTTTCTTTAAAGTGTAATATAAAAAAAAGTGCATAAAATGAAAAAAAAATTTTCACTAAAAATGTATATTAAAAACATATAATTTTAAGGTGTATCAATACTAAAAGTAGATAGGGTTCAGGGTCCCCAAGATAGCTAGGTGTCTAAGGCGTTGGATCCTTATTTGCCCGTAGTTGCACCTATACTTTACTATTTCAATGGAAGTGTAAAAAACCAAAAATAAAGTGAAGTGAGGTAGAGAAAGTTGATCCACTAGAGAAGGGACGAGATGACACTAGTATAGAGCATAAAGAAAAAAAGAGGAAGGACTGACCAAACTCCACACTCTCTTAGGGACTATCTATTTATAGGCAGGGGATCTAAGGTCTCAATTGCTATTAGGGAGGCTACAAGAATTGTGGTATATGTATGAAAACTTGCTATTGGGGAGGCTACAAGAATTGTGGTATATGTATGAAAACAATGTGTTGAGACTCAAGAGAATGTAGCCTTTACATAAACCCAAACTTGAACTAATAATTTGTCTTTTGAATAGAGTTGTTGGATCCTTGGGTGGGCCGACCAGCTTTATTTTTTGCGGTAGTATAAGGTCCATTGAGTAGGTATGCATTCAAGGTGAGGTTTTCCTAGAGGCTTAGTTGATGCTTCTTCTTTTTGATGAGTGTGTGAGCCCACCCTGTTGCTAGTAGATTTATGCTTCAAACTCGGCTTAGCGGTTGCTCTTGGGATCATGCTGGCTAGTTTGCCCCTAAGTTAGGCTAGCAATCTCCTATCCCAATCTTGGTGAATGGGTTTGTGCTGATCTCAAGCTTGTACTGAGTTTAGTGTGATGAGCATAAATCCTTGCCGTCCTTTTTGTTAGTTCTGTGCTTTAGGTTGTATACAAAAGGTAGATGGGTTAGGAGTTGAACTAGACACATTAAATTGAAAGCTTACCATTTTTTTTTTTGGTTTGGAGGGGGCTTTTAGGCGTCTTCGAAATCATGTACATGTGCTTGACTCTGTTGTTGGTTTAACAAAACTTGTTTTATCAATTTACTAAAATGTAATTTTTATGATTGAATCTATTATCATTTTTTTGTGATTCTTTCCATTCAGGCAAAATTAAGTTTCTCTCGATCTCCTATTATCAAAACTGAAAAGATATCTCTAAATAACTAAGTAGATTATTCTATGGTTATGGGGTTTAGATTGCCTTGGACAATATATAAAATTTAAAACTTCATTCATCTCTACCTACAGTAGATTTTTTCTCCAAAGTATTTTTCCTTTTCCCAGATGTCATCCCAATTTATTTTGGCATATCCTATCAATTTTAATCTCGCAAAACTAATTCTTTGATGGTCATCCATATTATGCCACTCAAAGAAACCATTCAACTTTTTTAGCCAGCCTAAAAATTTGTTAATATAAGGCTGGTTATAAAATATATAAATTTAAATTTGGGCCTAATTTAGGGGCTGTTTGGTGTCATGAAGAGACGCATGATTAGAATTATCGTACATGTCGAAGCTCTTTTAAAAATATAAAAAAATGCCAAGATGGAAGAATGGGAGAAAAATATACTTGATGATTTGAATTGTACTTGAGTGTCATGAAGGGACGCATGATTAGAAATTATCGTACATGTCGAAGTTCTTTTAAAAATATAAGAAAATGCCAAGATGGAAGAATTGGAGAAAAATATACTTGATGATTTGAATTGTACTTGACTATATAAATTGCCAAGTAAGATGGGTAAGACGGCCTCACAATGGACCAATTAAATTTCACGCTCCTTTCAAATATTTAAATTTTTTTTGTCAAAGCATTTTTTAGCCTCATAAATGCACAAAGAATGTGTATATATATTTGTATTTGTTTGTTTTTTTTTTTTGCAAAATGAAAATATAGAAAAAAAAAACTAAGTTTATACTATAAAATAAATGCAACTGTATTCTTGAGATTGAAGCAATTGCTAACAAATTGCTTTTGTAAGTGAAGATAATCATGCATAAAATTATTTGATCAAAGTAACCACCAAGAAAGTATTATTTCACCTTTATGTTTTAGAAAGACATCCAATATGAGCCTGGGAAATCTTTGTGGATCATATTCTTATATTGTATGGAACCCTTATCTATCAAAAGAGTGGATTAAGCTTTAAGATGGGACGGGCTTTGATTTCATGTGTTGTCACTATTTGGAGGACTTGCAAATTAAATTTTACACTGACTATATAATATTTCAGTATCCTAGATTTCTTTATCACATAGTTATACCAAATAAGAAAAAAAATAATTACAAAGGAAAACAAAAATGTTATGTTTTGATTTGAAGTTGCCTTAATGATGAAATAAAATATCTCCTCTTGAAATGGAAGTATTTTGGTGGAAGAAAAATTTTGGTGTTGAAATCCTATGGTGGTGCCTTTTTGGATTGTTAATTTTTTTCTCTATTAGGACAAATGCTAAATGGTTTTGGAGTGATTTATCTTTGATTTCAAATGATGAAGAGGCGTTTAATAGGTTTAATTATTATTTGAAGATGCAATGAAGGGGTTAATGTTGGTGGGAGACTATGAGAAAAGTTTGATTTTGTGTTATAATTTGTTGTGGATGAATGGATTTTCCTTGATGGAAATGGATGAGGACTTTTATGTTAGAGGTTTTCGATGTTATTGAACTAATGAAGGTTGTTTTTGGTTTATTAGATATATAGATTTGAAGTTATTAACTTTTCTTTTTTAATAAAAATTGGTCACAATAGGTGGATAGTAGTGGTAAGAATTTTGTAAAAAATGATGACTTAGGGTATGTTTGGGACAACTGTAACTGTTTGAAGAAATAACTGTAAAATTGCTGAAGAAAAAATTCTATTCTTCAAAAAACAGCGATGATTATTTCAAAGAAATATATTTATTTTTTTATTTGAAAAAGACAGATCGTAGCTTCCTTGCGGTCGCCGCAGGTTGTCAGATGTGGTGGGAAAACACAGCTTTCAGCTGTAGTTTTTTTGAGAACCCAAACAAAACACAGTTTTGCCACAGGAAAAATTGTGGTGCCGAACACACCCTTAATGTTTGTGAGGGTTGAAGTGATTTAAGGATTTGGAAATATAATGTAGAACATGTTTATAGAGGGAGAGAGATAATGGTTCACAAATCTTTAAATATGCAATGGCCGTGATATTGCTCCTAGAATCAGCCTTTTTCTCAAGTCTGTAAGCTCCGCTTGGATGAAACAGTATGTAATTGGTATAGCCAAAATAGATGTAGAAAGAGTAAAAACAAATGAGAATCTTGGAGAAATTTTTTGATTGATCGAAGCCAAGGGGCTACCAGAAGCGCTTTACGGAACAACCAAGTACCATTCGACAATCTTGAAGAGGTAATAAAGAAGCTTGTATCTGTAACCGGCCAAGGGGCGACCAGAAGCGCTTTACGGAAGAACCAATTCGACAACCTTGAAGAGGTAATAAAGAAGCTTGTATCTGTAACCAAGAGGGCCACAGTACTTTTAGCTTTGCAGACCCGTAGTTTTAAACAACAAAGTGAAGGAAAGAATCTTTCAGATAGGTATGATTACTTAAATGTAGGGTTTGCACATAACAGCCACCTAAAACATTTAAATTCAATGAAGTTGAGGTTACGTTTCAAGATAACTGAAACGTTTCCCGTTGTCTTTTCGTTTTTTCAGACTGATGGTTTCTTCAAGACAAGCGCACCTGGCGTTTATGCTGTAGGCGATATTGCCACCTTCCCTTCAAAATTGTACAAAGAGTTGAGAAGAGTGGAGCATGTCGACCATTCAAGAAAATCCGCACAGCAGGCTGTAAAGGCACGATCGAAATTCCTTACTCCCGAAACCTGCTTCTGATCCGAAATCTCATCATTCCTTCTGAATCTCTCATCCACAGGCCATTAAAGCAATCGAAGCAGGCCGAAGTGTGGAAGAATACGATTACCTGCCTTATTTCTACTCCCGTGCATTTGACCTATCCTGGCAATTCTATGGAGACAACATCGGCGACGCGGTTCTGTTTGGTGACGCCGATCCCTCGTCTTCTAAGCCGAAATTTGGCTCATATTGGATCAAAGATGGTAAGATCGTCGGCGCATTTCTTGAATCTGGTTCGCCTGAGGAGAATCAGGTCATTGCGAAGATAGCCAGGCTCCAGCCACCTGCACCGGACCTCCGGCAGCTCCAGAGTGACGGCCTTTCGTTTGCGTCGAAGCTCTGATCCGCTTCATCCCTATGGTTGGTTTTATGGAAAGAATTTGTGCCAGAATATTTCGATTAAATTTTGGTAAGGTCCAATTTCAAAATTTGTTTAATATGCTTTGATGTTTGTGCAATAAATACAGAATTAGTGCGCGCTCTTCTCTGCAGTACGGAAAAAAATTAAGATGTGCGTAACAGGGCTCCTTACATAATAAACGTTATATGAGCGTTATATCAGCATTATATTCGATATAACTTCTATATAACTTACAAATACATGAAAACAAAAATGCGAAATTTATTTGTAAGTTAAAGTATCTTACAGATAAGTTATATAGAGATTATATGGAGGTTACAAGGGATATAACGCGAATATAATGCTGATATAACGCCCATATAACCTCCATTATGTATGCAACGCTGCGTACGTCTTGCGCACACAAATTTTTTCCCTACTGTACTGTGAGGTACCGGTTGAATTACAGGCTAAGCATTTGAAAAATTATTATTTACAAATGAAGCAACTTCCATTCATTTTATAAATTCTCTCTCAAATATCAAAATTAATGATAAAATCTCTACTCATATTTTTATTTTTTTATCAAATTCTCAATGATTTGATCGTGATAATTGCAAATAATGAGTTTTTTACATATCAGCCACCCAAAAAATGAGTATAATTTTGACCACCTAAATTTTAAATATAACATTTTAAATCACCAAAAATTTTCACTCAAGTCTTGTCCAGTGGGCAAAGAAGGGTGGATATAATGAAAAAAATTGCACAAATATTATATTTGCAGTTTGGTACTTTAAAATATTATACTCAATATTTTGCATTGTTTTTATGTAAAAATCTCAAATAATAAATGTTGTAGTGATATTTGTTTTTCTTAACCCTACATAATGATGAAATATTTATGTAAACCCTACATAAGGATTTCTGTAATATATATATATATATATAATCTGTGTTAAATGTGTATATGCAAAATGTGCATTTCACATTTTAGTTATTAAAATAATTATATTTTTTTTCTGTGAAACGAAAATTTTTGGTGTTATAGATTTAAAATATAAACTTTTAAAGTCTTAAATATAAATATATAAACACGGACTTTGGGGGTATGTAAATGTCTCGATTTCTTTTTGAAGTTGATAAAAAAATTAATTTTCTCACATCACTAAATAATGTTAAAAGCAATTTATCACTGAATTTAACAAAAAAAAATGTTTATATGCCATTCGGCGATTTAATACAATTTTTCTTCTTTAAAAACTCATCTAGAAAAAAATAGGATTGTACTGTGACTAATTCGAGTGAAGATTAAGTTCACCCTAAGGGTTTGTTTGGGACAGTTAAAGGTTATTAGAAAATAGATATGAAGCTGCTGAATAATAATTTGATGTTAAAAAAATTGGGGTGGCTATTATAATTTTTCTTTTTTAAGTTAGACTGCAGCTAGAAAGTTATCACCACACCTAATGAGAAGTGGTGGAAAAATACAGATTTCAGCTGTATCATTTTGAGAACGCTATGAAAATGCAGTTTATCCTAACAGACAAAACTGTGGTGAAGTGTCTTGATGCTGCCGCACTGTTGCCTCAAAACGGATGCTAAATCAACAATTTAACTATCAATTTCTTATATTTTTAAATTTCACTGACATAATTATTCTTTTCATTTCCGAGAAAATTAGTTGAAGATAATTTAACGAATTCTAAGATGTCTGATTCGAATGCTTATATTGCCCTAAATCAACAATTTATATATATGTATTTTTTGCATAAAATCATTACAATAATTATAAGTTATGTCATATATAAATCATAACCTCAATCACCCCGAAAATCACATCAATTTAAGCACGCAATATTATAAATTCAATAAAAAAAATGTAAATAAAATCGGCATGTAGCCTCAATTTTGACCTTTGATCAAGCAAAATTAACATATTAATTTAATAATTAGTATATCCCATGGTTGACTATTGGGACACACACATTGGAGAAATTATTGCGTACGGACACCGCATGCATCTTTGGTTGACTATTGGGACGCACACATTGGATAAATTATTGCGTACGGACACCGCATGCATCTCTACATGCGGTGTTCGATCCTGACCGTAGATCACGGTGATCTACGGTCATGATTATTTCCGCTTTACATCGGGACCGTAGATCAGGTGATTTAGGGTCCGGATCGAACACTGCACGCAGCTTGTGTGCGGTGTCCGATCCGTATGGAATGATTTTTCCACACATTGTGGCGCATTGGGTCATTGGGATTTTTTTTATTTTAATTCTAAATTATTTATTTATTTAGTTCTTTTTCAATTAAGACTTTCCTAAGATTTTAAAATAATAATAATTTAATTCAGTTCTTAGAAGAATGATTTGAGTTTGACTTCTCGAAGGGCACGTGAAACCCTTTTAGAGAATTGGTCATATTTTATATATTTTTGGTATTTTTATGGCAATGACGTGTTGTCCTTTTGAAAATAGAACGTCTTGTGATGTGTTTGTCGGCGCTTGTTTGCATCTTGTTTATATATTTTTTTTATTGCACAATTCACCTTTTGAAAAAAAAAAAATTGCTTTTTGCATGGTTTTAGAATAAAAAATGACACAAAAGGATCATTTTTAAAAATCAGCGCATTGTTTGAATAGAATTAAGAACAATGAAGGAGTATATGGGTGGAAGTGGAGGAATTGGGGTTATAGGCACTTCCTTGGGAGGAAATTTTTCATATTGTACTCGTGCTCTCGAAAAACGTGCATCTTTTTTTCACTGATCTGCTATGTAGTGTTTTTTTTGGATTTTAGTAAATTAAATATTTTCTCATTATATTGCTGTTGCAAACAACTCGACTGCGTGTGGTTGAAATGATCATTTTTTCACAAACAACTACAAATAAGCTGTTTACAAAACACACAAACCAAACAGCTAAACAATTTATTAAAAACAAGGGCAAAATGATCATTTATCTAGAATCAACTGTTTTCCAGACGCACAAACCAAACAACCAGACAGCTTATCTGGACCAGCTGCTCATTAGCAAATTATCAGGATAAGCTGCTTATCAGCAGAAGCTAGATAAACTGCAACTGTCCCAAATAGACCATAATATGTGAAGATTTTGTGATTTGAAACGGTGAGATAATGGTGTGTTTCAAAGAACTTTTGGCGACATTCCTTTGCCAAAAAGACGCAATGCGGCTTTCTCCATGTTCACTCAGACGGAACCGAACTATACTGCCCTCTCAACTGAAACCTTAGAATGTTGCATGATGTTATTATAATTTTACATAATTGAATGTATTTTAATCATTAGCACCCATTTTTTTATGAGAATATATATATATATATATATATATATATTGATATGTGCAAGAAAATTCACAACAATAGAATAATGGATTATTGTCTTAGAGTTGCACGAAAATTCAACACACACAGATAACGGAAGGGAAATAAGCATGAAGAGATACTTCGACTTTTTATGTGGAAAACCCTTGAAAGAGGGAAAAACCACGGGGTCTAGTTCAGTTAAAAAAATTCACTATTAATAATGAGCACAAGTCTATTCTTCTCATAAATTAGGGAAGAGTGAATTACAAAGTTATATAACTATAATCTGGCTGCAGTTCTTGGTGACAATATGTTACAAGGATCATTGTTGATTGTTGTGAATGTAGCAGTCCGTCGTGAGTATTGTAGATGGTTCCTCCAAAAGTATTGATTAGCCAAAAAAACCTTAGTAAGCAGTTACAGGAGCTGTGGACTACATTGGTCGTACTGGCGAGAATGAATGACGTCTGTAGGCCGTCAGGGCTGAAGTCGGGAGTTGCATGAGCTGATGACCACATAGTTCGTTTGGGTGAGTAAGAATGACATCTGTAGTTCGTGGGGGTCAGAGTATGGAGCTGCACGAGCTGTGGACCAGGTAGTCTATAGGGCCAATATCAATGACTTGCATAGGCCGCGGGGGTCAGAGTCAGGAGCTGCACGAGCTGTAAACCACGTAGGTCATTGTTGACACATGAACCGTAGTGATGAGCTCATGTCCCATGACGATGACTGATGATGTCTGGTTGGTGGTGATCAACGATGATTGGTGGTGCTCGACGGTGATGATCGACAGTGGCTGACGACGATCGACGGGTGTTAACAACGGCCGACAGTGGCCGATGGAGATCGGCGGGGCTCCCCG